ACTCGTAGACGGATTTAACTAATGGTTCTGAATTTTTACGTTCAATTTGCCCATTTCTAAACGAACCTGACATCTGATCGAATGCAAGTGGTCCGGCTTTAGAGACAAAAAGGACAATTATAGCGCCACCAAGTTGCTTATATTGATAAATTAGCAAGCATGAAGGAAAATAGAACAATGCTCAAAGAGAAACTAAGGTTTTCCGTCTTTTCGATATTTCCGGGCTATCCTGCTATATAAGACTGTGTCAAGATTTTGTTTGTATCGTTGCGTCTATATGGGGATGATCTACCTACCCAAGCAAAGGATGTTATCTGAAAACATTGCAGTCTAAAAATGTCTATATGTTTAAAAATCTAAGTATGCTGTGCACATGAATGAGACACCGCATCAGATAAAAGGAAAAAATGAGTCTGGGCAGATGTGCCTGAGTGAACCCAACAGAAGAATAACCTCAAACATGAACAATAATGCTTTTAAAAAAGTTGATTAACGACTAAACAAATATGGGAAACAGAACAATACACAAAAAGTATCGAACACTTTCCGTTTTTCCAAATATTTTCCAACATCTGCCAAATTGGGGGGTTGCGAGATTTTGTATCTATGTTGTAACAGTCGTGTGGAGGGAGCTGCCTTCCAAAGCCTAGCTGAACACAAAACAACTTGCAAATAGATGCATGAGTCCAAAAGTCTGAGCTTGCTGAAAACATGAATTATATAGGATATCAAATAAACTGGCAAAAAGAGCCTAGGCGAATGGCCTTAGGACTAGAATGCTTTTAAAGAAGGCCTATAAACTACTGAGAAGATGTGGGAAAACAGAAAAATGCATGAAAATAAGGTAACACTTTACCTTTTTTGAAAATCTTTGGACCTTATTACAGGCTTTTGTGTCAATGTGGAAGCCTCTAGGTGGGATTTTTTGGCGTATCCAGGGGTTATCGAAACATAAATCAGCCTGAAAATGCCTGTTACCCAAATGTTGATCTTACCAATAAGGTGGGACATGAAATAGAATGGTAAGCAATTGGGTGGTGGCTACTAATGGCCATTGGATCAGAGGAAGGGGAGAGGAATGGAGAAGAGGTAGGATAAGTCACCTTTATCGGTTGGGTGTATTGATGACGATTTCGCAAATAATTAGTTATAACCCAAACAATTTTCGTCATTACAGAACTGATGGCCATTTTGAAGCTAAATACTACTAGAGATGCTGACAATACTTGGGCATGATAGACGATTCTGTCCGTCCAAAATAAGTAGGTAGGTCCCAGACGGAGATGACAAAACATTTCGAGAAAAAATAAAGAAATACTAATTTACTGGTAAATCGACTTCACAGGTCTCTTTGACGTATTGTATTGTGGCGCTAAAAATGGCAAAGCTCATTGACGATGTCGATTACGATGTCCGAAGTCGATGTCCATAGAAAGCCCAGAAATGTAAGTCCCATTCTTGAGATATTCTCTAATAAGATTAATGAGGAAAATCAGCAGTTCTTAAGCAATTTTCATAAAGATTGTAACTAGCAGAGCTACGAATGATTGCTAAATTCTAAACTCAGTATATCTATCCACTGGAAGTAAATGAGAACTATCCCGCAATTGTAATTTTTCGACCCTGTTTTTGCAGCTTGGTCATATTGGCAGGAAGGCCTTGAGGGAAAAACCTTGTCTGGAGTCCGTTGTATGCACCGTAGTTTCCAGAGTTGGTCTGCTGACTTGGTACATTCCCAGACGTTTCGTCGGATCGTCAGTGCGTCTTGGCACCTTTCGCATCAAACTACAACTCGTCAAAGAGACAAGTGAAGTCGATCCTTTGACTGATTGTCTGCTAAACAGTTTTGGTATCCCTCCTGTTCCGGGGTATTCACCTATCCTATATCCTCATAAGACACCTTCACTCTCATAATTTCATATTTGCTCATTTAAACCAGGTTCTTTTATGTTCTTTTGAGGCCGATTCACACTCTCTGCTGGCTTTATCACCACCCCCCTTGTGCTGGGAATGTTGATCTGAGTCAGTCCAATTAATACTCAATCTTCTTCCTCAAAATCGTCGGTCATGCCCAAGCATTATCAGCACCATCAGTGGCATTTAGGTCAAACAATTTATATCACACACTAGCCCTGTCTTCATCCTGTCATACTGTGTGGATCCTCATCTAATCTGTACTTATATTTCGAAAAATATAGAAGGAAAATGTCGGGGAATGTAACCGATTTACGGAAGGCGACATGGTGACAATAGTGAGGGTACGGAGTAAATTCTTCTTGATCCTACTTAAAATGAGATTGTAAAAGGTCTAGAACCTGACCGGGTGTCTCATGACTACCTCAGAACTGTCGTTTTAGGGAAATTAGAAGCCGACAGATACATAAAGCAAAGACCCAGCTTTAATGATGTCCATTACATGATGGACGAAAGCTGAGCCCGTTTTCACCCGAAACTAGGGAGGAAGTCTCGTGGACTGCGTGAACGTGAACATCGTATAAAAGCCAAATGGCGGCAGTACAACGAGATTCATCCTTTCTCTTCTAGTGAGATCGACCCACGAATATCTTCTTCTTGCTTTTCATACGAAATGAACGTCTTC